CAAGCTCTTTGTCCTGAGAAGATTCTTCGTCGACGAGCAGTGTCATCTTCTCCGGTCGACGGTGGTGATCCTTCTTCCTCCTCTTCTCCGAGTTCTTCCTCCTCTTCTCCAAGTTGTTCTCTGTCTCCTCCTTGCTCCTCTGATGGTTGTAAGTTCAATCACTCTCTACTTGTTGTAGCTTACTACCTCCGTCCTGGTTTATAGGTCCCCTTTGTAGTTTGTACCAAATTTTGACTAAAGATTTAACTAACAAAATGTTAATGCATGTCAAATTTTTTTATCTCATTGGATTCGTATTTGAACATAGTTTTCAAAAATATAATGTTTGGTGACATGCGTGAACATTTTATTAGTTTAATCTATGGTCAAAATTTGGCACGAAATACAATGGGGACCAATAAACCTGGACGGAGGTAGTAGTATGGTACGCTATGCAAGTATTGCTTCATGATGTGTGGGGACGCGGTAGATCATATGCTAGTGATAACATGGTAGGTTTTGCTTGTCGGCACTGATGAAGTTCACGCTGTTGTGGTGGATGTACATGATTTTCGTGTCGATTGCAATGCTACTATGGTAGATTTGGTACTATGTTGAGCTTGATGATCGGTCCATGTGTAGTATGATAGTATGGTACTATGGTAGATGTAGTAGTGTGTTCAGTTTCATGATTAATCCATGCTAGTTTGCTAGATGCGCTTGTGTGTTGAGCTTGATGATCATTCCATGAGTAGTATGGTATCATGGTAGATGCATTGTTCTTGTTTAGTAGTCTTGATTGCTAATCATTGTAGAACATGACCAACGAAGACGTTAGTCAAGCCATTGTTCAGTTTGAAACCCAAATCTTTCCCTCTTATGTTGAGGATTGCCAGGCAATGCCTTATGATGCAGATGTGTTTGAAGGGCGGTACCACTACATCTTTAGTGGTGACTATGCTTGCGACAACTACTAAGCCTGCCATTAAGACTTGCAAGGCACATATGAGGAGGTCAACGAAGGGGAACACAATGAGATGGCAACTTTTATATCCACTTTTATCCTGAACAAGATGTATGATATCATTGTTGCTATGATAAGGACTAATAAGGGCTTCAAGGAGGTGCACATGAACGTTGTTGCCAAGCAGGGTTTTGAGTTCTATGGCACAGAGGTGCCCTCAACACAGGTGCATAAGCATCTTAGGAAGTGGAGAGCGAACTTGATCCAAGTGTCCAAGTTTAGAGACCTTAGTGTCACATAATGGGATCAGGAAACCTTCACGATTCCGTTGGAGGTTGAGCACTACCAAGGACACATCGTGGTTAGCTAACATACCACTTGTTTCACTCGATCTAACAGTGATTTATTGACAAGCATGCCATGGGCTCTAGTGAGCCTCTCGCTTGCCTATCACTGAGTATCCATGCACCCAAGAGACCATCATCCTTGATGGCTTGCTACTGATCACGCTCCTACTCTTAAGAGGAAGAGGAAGATGGTGCCTTAATGGACGAGGAGCTAAGCATTTTTAGCAGCATGACCGACACCGTCAAGGAGCTAGCATCTGCATTAGGGAGAGCAAGCCTATTGACGTGCACCATTCCATCTACAGCTCTATCATCACAACATTGGCTTCGGTGAGAAGGATATGGTGGTCGCTCTTAAGCACCACATGGACAACATGGTACAAGGTCTTGGGTTTGTTGGGATGCCAATGGAGCACACTGCGCTATGGCTTAGGACCTAGCTAAGCAAACACTACTACGTGTAGTGCAAGGGTCTCTGGTGGTGGCGACATGCATGCATGATGATGATGATGATGATGTACATTTTTTGGTAGTTGGGCATGGCAACTTTAATGGCCTGTATATTTGTTGAGGTGGTATATACTAACCCCTCACATGGTGATGGTGAACTTGTGGTGGTAGGATTCCACCATTTTTTATGGTGGTATATATCATGACACCATAGTAGGTAGGATGAACTTGTGATGCCTTAGTACATGCATGCTTATGTTGCTTCTGTCCCATACGTTGTGGTCCTTGTCAGGCTTGTTGAGATTGTTTTTCTTCTGTCTTGCTAGATGAAGTGGTATGTGGTGTACTCAGGAGGGTTCCAGGAGCCTACGGTTCATGACAGACATGCCATGAACAAGTGAACGGATACAAGAACAATTGCTATAGAGGATTTAAGACTAGGGAGTATGTAGATGACGATTAGTCCAGGTTTGTTCTCAGGTATGTTCTTAAAGAGAAGAACAGTCATGAAGAGGCAAGGGTGCTTGTCATATCGGGTTCAATAGGCTGAAGATCATGATATTCGATTGTCCAGTCTGTCATCATTGTTGTATTATTGTTACATGTGATCGTATTTGACATAAAAGGACAACGGCGTTAAGGATGATACTCCCTCTATTTTTATTTACTCTGCATATTAGAGTTGACTGAAGTCAAACTTCGTTAAGTTTGACCAAGTTTATAGAAAACAATATAGACATTTATCATAATACATCTATACGATGTGAAAGTACATTCAATAATAAATCTAATGTCGTTGATTTGTTATTATATATCTTAATATTTTTGTTTATAAACTTGGTTAAAATTTGTAAAGTTTGACTTTGACCAAAGTTAATATGCGAACTAAATAAAAATGGAGGGAGTACTTATAAAGTTATAAGCTCGCCATGTTGAGGTATTGGATTATAACGTTGAGCTGAATGTGTGCGACCAAACACAACGAACCGCTTTAGGGCCAAAATCCCGAAGCGCGGGAACTAAACATTAAGGCTTCGTTGCTTCCCTAATATAGCCTTCTTGCTTTGTGGGCAACCAAACATATCTCGAAACATGGCTCAGAGGTTGTATTACCTAAGCTAAGCTCAATCGAACCACAAATGTAAGGTGGTGAAAATGGCTGCAAGCAACCAAACACGTCATATACATTCTTACTTGTTGTTTCTTACTCTAGGGAAACAGAAGTGATGCAACTCTTGGGTCTGGCCCCGGGCCCTCCGGTCACACACACACACACACACACACACACACACACACACACAAATTTGACAGTGGCAGTACCACAGTAACGTCTTAGGCTGCAGAAACGGACCGGAGGCAAACTGAAACCTGGTACTCATATGCTATATATTCGACTGAAAAATACTTCCATGATGACATAATTTTAGACTGCATAAATAAATACACAACTAATTCAAGTGGGTGATCAAGTGTTGTGTCTAGGGACCAACCATGTAGAGTAGCACGAAACGCCGGTTTTATATCTTGATTTAAAACCCGAGAGAGTACATCCAAGTGATCCTGCCCTAAACGTGGTCCTGCTCTTGCTCTCCAGTCTTCCATTTGTGTAAAGGCGCCAAAAGGCACGACGTCGACGCTGCAACGGTCCACTTTACTGACTTAGTTTATCATCCATCTTCGGTGACATCCGAGCGATCAAACAAACAAAAGCCCAAGAATCAGACCCTCTTTGTTTTCAGTGTGTATATATAGATCAATCAATCAGAGAACAATCTCTCAACTTTACAATATCCGGGACGGCTCCACCACCCTGCGAATTGTTAACGTCAATCGTGGAACAAGCCTTCGTCCCGCGCGCGGCTTCCCCTGTCAAAGCTACACCTATCTTTTATCTTTTTCATTCACACACGCACGCACACAAGCTCAACGGCTCGGTCCGCGGCAACTACTCAATCAATCAAACGCATTGCTCAAACAAACCCTCAAACCAAACAACCATATACACAAGCCGCAGCCACGATCTCCGGCTGCTGCTGCTACGGCCTACGAGATGCTGATCATGGCGGCGGCCATTGAACTCTCCAGGCTGACGCACTCGATCATCATCCCGCACATCTTGCCCATCTCCTTCTCCTTCACCATGGTGCCGCCGTGGCCGCCGTCGGAGGCCTCCGCGGCGACGCACTCGTCGAGGCGGTAGCAGGTGACGAGGTGGTCGTTGGCCATGCCGACGGCCTGCATGAAGGCGTAGACCACCGTCGGGCCGACGCCGCGGAGGCCCCTCCGCACCAGGTCCTGGCTGAGCGCCTCGGCCTTGGGCGTCCGCAGCGGCACCTCCCGGGGCGACCGGTGCCTGCCGACCATGGGCTTGTAGTTGAGGAAGCCCCAGCAGTACTCGTCCAGCGACCCAAACTCCTCTATGATCTATCAACAGCGAGGTTCAGACTTGATGTCAGAAAGAAACACTGGGAGGCATTAAGTCTAAGATTAAGAAGCTAAGAAGAGTAAACAAAACGGTTGTTGGGCAGATTGAATTGGCTGCCAATGCTGTTCAGGCCATCGAGATCAAGATCTGGACAGGTATGGATAGGATGACTGGCTGACATGGAGGTGGATGGATGAACTTACCTTCAGTAACTCGTGCGCGTTTTCGACGATGGTTCGAAGCCGGTGCTCCGACAGCAGGGACCTGGCCGGGCTGCATGGCCCCAGGAATTTCTTCTCGTTTAGCTTCGACACCAGTAGAGGATCGAAATCCATGAACACTTCCCTGTGGAGTGCATGCATGCATGGTGTTTGATGAGATTTTGAGTGTCTGGTGAGCTGTTAAGAGGTAAAAAGGAGAGCGTACCTGAAGGCGTCCCTCTTGCTGAGGATTACAGGCCATGACATCTCCGCCAGTGCACCAGACAGAACAAGCATCTCAAATAGTTTCCTGTGGATTTAGGACTGAAAGTTGTAACTTTACATAATTAATTTGCTTCTTAGCATTTTAACTTTAGATGATTTCATTAGGCTTATTAGGGCATACCTGTCGTCATGCACTGGGACGCCCCACTCCTGGTCATGAAAGGCAGTGTAGCATGGATCTGTTACAGATGTAAAATCAAAGATTTCATTAGTAAAACCAAAGGTTTCATTAGTCAGGTGAAAAACAAGGTGTGATTCCAACGGAAAGTTGAAGATCCTAGAAAGTTTGCGAGATTGGAGCAAGGACGAGAGTGTACATTTTGATGAGACGGCAACAGTGACCAGAATGTTTTTTTGTCCAAAAGGGCAGAGGTCCCAGCTTAACAGTTAATTAGGTGTATGATCAGCAGACATCATCAGGTACTACTGTTGGGTATGAAAAGGCAACACATCTTTTCCAATGCTGCAAACAAGTACTATGTGGTAGTTTGTACGGTTCTCTTGTCGTCCTACGCTCTTGCTAAAGTACGTGAAACTAAATAATGGCACAAAAACCTAACTATAGGAAGATTAAAGCTGCAAGCAGATTAACACCATTAGGCTGGTCACAATGGGGAGGAACTTAGGAGTAACATCACACACTCCGATACAACTTTGCTTATGTGGCACATATTTAATAAAGAAAGAGGTGCTTGTGGTAACTAACTAAGTTATCGAAACATCACACACTTCAAGAAACAATGAGTCTATAACCTAATAAATACATCGTTTCATGACACTACATAGATGTTCCTACCCACTATGGAGGTAGTAACATAGTCTAGAGAAGTGTGTAAGTTACTAGCTTATGTTCTTGCCCATTGTGACCAGCCTTAGGGAACTGTCAATGGAGCACAACCGGAGCAATTAAATACGTTTCCGCTGCCTAATGCGCTGCAGAAAAGATGCAAAGCTCAACTGGCATAAATTTAAAGGGGAGAGCAATGATAAGCACATCAGTATCACCACCAAGAGAAAAGGAACAAAGAAAGAAGAAAAGATATATATCCTGGGGCCTGGGACGCCATTCTTTTCTTGGAACATAGAGATTGAAAGCCCCAGGCCACCATCATCGACCTCCTCCGCATCGCAAGTTTGCGACCTAATGCGAAAAATTTCAGGCCAAGCTAAGCCCTGCTTACCACACTGAATTTGTGTTTGCACCTAAATTTTGTGACTGACCAATTACATTGAAACACCTACTCTCTGGTTAAGGACTACTACAAAGGAGCTCATGCCACTTGGTTTTGTTAAGTCGAGGGTTTAACAACTTGATTAGATTTCAGAAATATTGTGCCGACAAGCTAGTGGGCAATGGGAGGAATTCTTTGGGGAGATAAAATTGACAAGTACTCGCCGGATAGCGGACGCGCCACCAAACATCTGAGTGCATCTTTATACTAAATTGCGCATTTGTCAATTGTGCAGCGCCACCAAACGTCTCTGAGGCCATATGATCTAATTAATCACAATCATCGCCTCCTAGATTAATGCTAATTATAGCAGTAGTAGTACAAGATACTGGAGGTGTTTTCTCTTTCTCCTGGGAGAGGTAAAACGTTCACGTCAGCGCAATAATACGCAAGCACAGGCCACTGCTTGGCAGCTTACTATGTCAATGCAGCAGCGGTATCATTATTCGAGATTATTTGAGACAGCTACTCCCTCCGTCCGAAAATAGATACATCCTTTTTATCCATTTTGATAACAAGTATTTTCGGACGGAGGGAGTATGTTACAAAGCGGTCTCATTTTGGACGTGGGTTCACAAGCTGATATAGACGGAGGCAACGAGGGTCTCTCATGAGTACGTACGTACAGTGCGATAGACGTGATCTAGCATGGAAAATACGATGTACAATTCTGTAGCAGACGCAGTGCTGTATTCTGAAAACGTGAGGAAATCGGATATATTGCTTTGAGGGGTATATGTATGTGTATATATACTTAGGAAACATCACAAGTCGCAACCACTCATAGTCTTGGTCCAAAAAGTTATAGCTAGGGCAGGGTAGCTTTGATAAAGAAAGGCCCCGTGTAGAGTTGTGTAAATTTTAAGCTAGCTAGGAGTAGATAGTACGTACGGCTGAATATACCGGCTGACGGTTACTAATGATGGTGCATGAGGTCTTGATGACTGATCAATTTATCCTTTCTCTTTTACTTATTAAGCTCTTCAAGACCTCGTGCATCCTTAATTAGTAACTGTCTGCCATATATTGACGGCACTTACTATACATTACTTCCCCTAGTTCTCAAAAGCCATCATTTAGACATTGTCCCCAAAAAGTGTTTTCCCTTTTTACAAATTTTAATTTTCTTGACTACTGGTATTTTTCTAAAATATATTCAAGCTCGATATGTGAAAATCATATGCGCAAGTTACATTTATAATTATGTTCGAAGAGAAACTGAATTTCTGGTGGAAGTTATGCTTTGAGTCATTGAAGACTACTTCAATGTTGGTTTAGTGCATAAAATAAAAAGAATTTGCATTTTTTTAGGGGTAAGTGGGGCGGATTTGTGCAAATTCATTGATTAGTAGTACTACTATTAGGGTATTTAGGGTATAGAGGGTACGCCAAAGAGTATATAGCATAGCAGATTATGTGAGTACTTGCCATTCCTAGTATTAGGGTATAGAGAGTACTAATTGTGTGAGTACTTGCTATTCGTAGCTAGAAAATGAGCTACCGATTATATATCATAGCAAATTAATAGCATGCATGATAGCAAAAGGAGAAAGCATGATTATCCACTTGTATACTAACTGCATTTAGCATCCCCTTTAATTTGTCCTTGCCTTAATGAAAAGAAGCCATAATCACATGATTAGTGTCGGGATTAATTTGGAGCACCTACCGGTGTTACGGGTCACCCAGGGACACCTCGGCGGCCCCGGCGGCGCCGCAGGTTCTCCGATCATCGAACCCAGCACCACCGCAGCAGCTGCTCCTGCACCGTCCGGCGCAACGCTGGCAGCCTTCCGAGCGGAAGGGGGCCCCGCCGACGACCCGGCGGCCGCCCTCCGCCGGGCAGCCGCCCCCGCCGGCCGGCCGATCCTGCCGGTGGACGCCCGGCTGCAGAAGGAGTCGTCGGACGCCTCGGACGCGCACGACACGTTGAGCGACTGCATGTTCCCGTTCTTCCCGCCGCGGCGCAGCAGCTCGGACCGGCGCAGCAGCATGGACGGGAGCGCGCCCCTCGCGGCCGCCGTGGCGGTCGGCAGCCTCTTCTTGGAGTTGGAGGCCTTGCTGTCGGCCGCCGCCCGCGGGTCCTCGTCGCCGCGCGGCGTCGTCGACTGCGGCCTCTCCCTCCCCCCGGCGCCGGCCGACGGCGGCCTCTCCCTCCCTCCGGCGCCGGCCGACGGAGGCCTCGGGGATGACGGCCTGCGGGCTGCACCGGCGACCCTGGGCCCCGCGGCGGACATGCCTGCCTGCCTGGCTGGCTCCCGTTCAGCTCGCGGTGCTCCGTCGGCCTCGCGTGGACGCGCCTGCTAGTAGTAACCTAGGACGATCGATGAGGCAGACGCGGGCGTAGAGGATTATATGGAGCGATCGATGGAGACGACGGCGAGCTCCGGCGTTGCCGTCTGAGAGGTACAGTGTGCGAACGAACTGCGAGCTGCGGAGTGTGCGGGCTGTTATAAGGTGGCTCTCGATCGCCTTCGCCTTCCCGGGCGCGAACGAACGTACGTGGGCTGGTGGGTGGCGGGCGGGTGCTAGCTACGTACGTACGTTCTGCGCGCGCGGTTTGCGCTCGCGATCGAGCGAGCGCTGGGCGGGCGGTTGGTGGCGCGTCGAGAGCGCTGTTGCCATGGGA